GCCGCGTGCGCCGCGTCCTGCCACCTCCCGGCCCCTCGCGGAGGCCAAATTCACGCTCCTCCCGCCAGCGCCGTTGGTTCGTAGGGGCTTCCGGCCCCGGAAAGCTAACAGCGCCCCCCCCCCCCCACCATGGGCTTCGCCCGAAGAAGGCCCCGCGGCCGGACACACCGGCTCATGCTTGTGTGTGGTGGCCAGTCCGGCATCGACCTTCCAAGTTATCGAGGGAACATGATGGCCCCGCCATGCCGCCCGGCTGTTGCTGCCAGCCCCCCCCCCGCCGGCGGCGCCGGTTGCCTGCACAAGCAGGCGCGACCCGCGCTGTCTCGCCAAGCGCCTGAGACTATCATTAACCAGGCCCCCACCCCCGCCCTGCTGGGGACTCGTATTCAGAGCGGCCACATAAACCCAGGGCCGGCCCAGCTCTCGTTCTCTCGCTCTCTCCCTCTCTCCCTCTCTCTCTCTCTCTCCCTGACGATGTTCCGACACACTGGAGCTCTACCTGCCTTATTCTTTAGCCACTGGGACTTCCCGCCCCACAGCCAACTCCCCTGCCGTCTTGGCACAGGTCTCCTCGTGTACGTGAGAGAGATCCAGAGGCACGACGAGGGTCGCGGGATTCGTCCTTCCCGCCTCGAGAGGCCGTCCCCAATGAATCTCTCTTCATCTCTCTCTCTCTCTCCCTCTCTCTCTTTCTCTCTCAGACGCTCTTGCTTGGCGGCTCGTGTGACCTACTCGCCCCAGCCGAATGGGGGCGAGGGGGGCAGAGGGCTTTAGGGTTCGGGGAAGCTGGCACGCACGCGCGCGCGCGCGCGGGACGGTGCTCCTGCGCGCAGCGGAGGCAGGCCTTTCCCCCACTGGAATGGGCCGTCGGTTCTCCAGGCATCAGAACTACCGCAGGGGAAATTAATGTGCCCGCCGTAGGCCGCCGCCCCCCCCGGGGGAGGGATATCGCACCGCGGATGCCTTGAGAGGTAGGTCAAAAGAGGCCACCCAGGGAAGCCCGGCGTGGTCGGCCCCGAGCGTGCTTCGCGCGCCAGCAGGCCGAGCCCTGTCACAGGCCCCCCCCCCCCCCCCCCCCCTTCGCCGGTCACCGCGCAACCAAGACGCGCGCCCCGTGGCCTTGGCCTGCCGTGTGTGTCTCGGCGGCACATACGGCCCTCGCCGCTCGCCGACCCCCGGGCAGGGGAGCCGGCAGAGGCGGCACGCGAGCCACGCACGGCCGCGGGTGGGCACCTCTGTGCGAAGGCACATGCCAATGGTCTCGTGCGTCCGCGCGCCCATCGCAACGGACGCTTTTTCCGCCAGCGCACAGTTGGCAGCCCCGGTCCAAGGCGTCGGGCATTCCCGCCTCCCGATCTCCCCCCCTCCCCCGCCGCCCTGCCCCTCCCCTGCCGCCCCGCCCCTGGCTGCTTTAGATCCCTCACACACACACACACACTCACAGCATGGCGGCCAGCGCCCACACCGACAGCTCGCCGACTCCGACCAGCAACCCATCGTTTGCGCTGCTCAGCCAGGCAGTGGCCCGGTTCGAGGAGTCTGGCGTCGCCCTGGCCGAGGAGTACTCGCGCTTCGTCGTGCAGTCCCGTGCCGAGGCAGTCACCGCCACGTCTCTCGGCGCCTCGGTGGCCACCCTGCTCGCGGTGCGCGAGTCCCGCGAGGTGGCCCAAATCAGCCACCAACTAAACACACCCGAAGGGCCCCGGTAACGGGCCGCCTCCTCGCGCCCCCTCTTCCTCCCCTCCTCCCCCCCGCGGTCTCTCCCGCTCGCCCCTGTGCCCGAGGAAACGTACCTCCGGGTCGTGCCCGGCACAAACAGGCATGTGCAAAATACGCGCGCGCGCGCGCACACACACACACACACACACACACACACACAGACAAAGATATGCACATAGACACGAGTATATCTCGTGACGTCGATCGATGCGTTGTTCTCCTCCTCGCTGGATGAGACACACTGTGCGACCCCTGTCGCCCGGGCGGCAGGATGGCTATACACGCATTTGCCGACCCTCTCGCTCACTCGGACGCAGGCTTCCCATGGCGCAGAGAGAACATGAGCACGGTCGAGCGGATCTCCTCGCACCCAGGGTCATTCTCGAACATGGGCTTCATCTTGGTCTCCAGGACCTTCTCCACCTCGAAGTGGTACGGCGCCTCCTTGGCAAGGTTGAAGAAGTTCTTCGCGCATTCAGAGCAGACGACCCACCCCGCCAGGGGGAAAGACATGGGGGGAAATGGATCCTGTCAGTGTGTGCTTGGCCGCGCGCTCAATCAAGCACCAATACACGCCCATCCAAGCCAGATAAGCATGCGTGCGCGTACCAGGTCCGCGTCGGCCTTCCAAGGGCGATGCGAGCTGAAGATGACAATCGCCTGCGAGCCAGGGCGTTCACACGTGAAGCCGCGGGATTTCCACCCGCATGTGCCGGGGGGAGGGGACAGGAGGGAGGAAAGGAAGACGGGCCAACACGGAGGGGTCAGCCATGCATCACGCCAGACAAGGGGAAGGAGAAAGCCCAGGAGGAAGTCATCTGTGGACATGGATTGCGCACCTGCCCATCCTCAGCCATGGTGTTCTGCACCGACCGCAGCATGGCATGATGCTCGCTGTGGTTGAACAGCAGGTCAGCCAGGACCAGCAAGTCGAAGCGCGTCTTGCCCTCGGGCAGGCGGTCCAGCAGCGGCTGCGGGTCCGCCCCCCACAGGTAGCCCTGCCGGAAGGACGCAACGAAGCGGGGTCAGAAGCCAAGCGCCCAAAGAGGAACAAGGAAGATGGCTCGGCCCCGGCGGAGAGGGGGGACAAGGTGCAGCCACATGGCCCCCACATGGCCGAGGACAAACACGCGTGCGTGGGTGTGCGCGCCCACTGAGACACCCCCGTCCCCCCGCTCCAGCGGGTGTCGCGGTCGCACGCACCTGCACCACAAGCGACCCGTTGGCAACCGCCGCAGGGAGGTTCTTCTCGGCGTTGTTGGTAATCATGTCGATCAGCGGCTTCTCCGGGTAGTCGGTGGCGACGGACAGCGCGGCACCCTGGGTGGCCGCCGCGAAGGAGGGCAGGGCGGCCGCCGCGCCGAGCTCCAGAACCCTAGGGGATCACACAGCGTGCAGGACGTCAGCAAAGGTCAAATGCACCGGCGGGACTCACGGGCGCACGCCAGCGCGCGCATACATGGGGGTCGTACGTCTTGCCGCGAACCAACTCCGGATGCGCATCAAAGTGATGCGCCAGGAAGACCCCGGCATTCCATAGGCAGTGCGCCCACAGGGAGTGATGGCCCACCAGGACCAGGTCCCATGCGGCCGGGGTACCTGCCGCAGGGAGGCACCCCGCAGGGGGGGGACGGCAAGACAAAGGAAGAGGCGGGCAAGGCATGTCAGCGTCCGTCGGCTCCCTCTCCTGATGGGGACGCGTGAAAGTGGGGCGAAGGCACGGGGTAGGGGGGGGTCCTGGGGGGGAGGGGCACACGGGCCAGCGACGCACCGTCCGGAATGCAGCCCTCCTGGCGGGCGACAGTGTGCTGCGTCGGGGCCGGAGGCGGGGCGTGGTAGTCGCTCGGCTCCTCGAACATATCGTCCATGGGCGAGAAGTCCTGCTCGTCGGAGGACATTGCTGGCGGCAGAGGGTAGCGAGGGTACTCGGAGGAGAAAGGATAAGAGGGAGGGGGGGGGAGAGATAGATGGAGGCAGGAAGAGGGAGGATGTAAGCTGGGCAGTGCGCGGGGCTGATTGGCCTCTCTCCCTGGGGCGCCCGCCGCCCCTTCGGCCCGCCGACTGGGGGCCTGATCAGGGCGTGTGTTTTCTTCTCCGTGGCCCTTCCCCCTTCCTGCCTCCGCGCGATCTTGGCCAGCCGTCAGTGCCCCATTTCGTCCGGAGGGCCAGGCGGAGGAGGGCCCACGCGCAGAGCCCAGTGCGTTGTCTTCTCCAAGAGGGCCTCCCAACGAAAACGAGGAGAGCTTAGCGCAAATCGACGGAACACCATTACATGACCGCCAGGGAGCCACCCTCCTGATGCTCGCATCACGAGGTGTCTGCGCGAAAATGGACCCCTGGCCGGAAAATGGGCCCGAAGTGCTTGAGACACCCATTTCTCTTCCTCAGCCAGCAACGGAGCATATATCCCCCTCCCCCCCCCCTGTTCCTGGTTCCGGCGGCGGGAGGGGGAGTGCCGCATACCGGGGCTGGGGCATAGTTTCTCTCTAATGCTCGGCCGCCGGGACCGCGCGCCCCCGGATACCTCGATGTATGGCAGACTGTGGCCAGCGCGCCCACCCGTCAGCGTATCTGGGGCTGCTTGTGGCCGGCCTTTCCGCCACCGGACAATAGCGTCTGCCCGTCGGGTGCATGGGGGCTGTGGCCGGCGTCGCTCCTCAAGCCAGGACCGCGGCGCATGAGGCGGTGGCCCGGTAGCGGCACCTGCAAGGGGGGGGGGGGGGACCGGTAGGAGTCGCTTTTCATGCGCAATGCCCCCCGGGTCTCATCGTGACCCCCTCCCCAAAAGAGCCCCGCCGCTGCCAGGCGCCCGACATTGTGGATCAGGCAGCCATCCCCCCCTCCCCCATCCCCTTCTTTGCCTCTCCTCCCTCCTCTCTTCGCCCCACCCAGCATTTACAATGCCGCCGCCCGAAGCTGGCGGGTCCGCCGCGAAGTCGGAAAAACCCGATGCCACCTACGCTCTGGCACACCTCTTCGTGACAAAGTACTACTCGAGCCTGTTCCGCTCGCCCGGGACCCTGAGCCACTTCTATGATGACTCGGCCATCTTTTTCCGCCCGACCAAGGCCGGCGCCCTCGTCCCCCAATCGGCCGACGTGTGTACATCCCCTGCCTCCGCCCTTTCCTTGTCGTCCCTGCACCCCGTGCCTCTTTCTCCCCCCGCCCCACTCTGTGCCCTCTCCCGCCCGACCGCTGACCCCCTCCCCCTCCCATGACTCCAGGAGGCTCTCCTCTTCTCGACCAAGATGTCCCAGGGCGCCGTGTCCCTGACCGATCTGCGCGCCAACCGCCTGGGCGCCGGGGCCGGCACCATGCTCAAGATCGTGGCCACTGGCACCACCACCGCCGCCGCCAGCCCGGCCGGCACCGGCGACGCGGCCGCCCCCCTGGATGGCCACTTCCAGAAATTTGTCCAGATCTTCGACATTGCCCCCACTCCCGGCAACCCTTACCAGTATCAGATCCACTCGGACAGCCTCTTTTTCTTCGCCCCCAAGGTTCGGCCCCCGCCTCGGCGGCCTTTGCGCCTCTGGCCATCCATCCAGCCACACTGCGCTGTTGTCCTGCCGCCCTGCTGACCTGCTATCATCTACCCCCGTCGCCCTGTTCCTGCTCTCCCTCCCTCCCTCCCTCCCTCCCTCTCTCTCTCTCTCTCTTGCCTTCCCTCCCCCCATTCAGGAGATTTCCCCGAGCCCCGAGCCCTCCTTGTCGACATCTAGCACGCCTCCTCTGGGCGGTCGCAACACGACTCCCGGTCTCGGGGAGGTGGACCCCGCGGTGCCTGCCCCCCTGGCGGCCGGGGACTCCGGCTCCCTCTCGACGACGGCCTCCGCCTCCAAAAATGACACTCCCCCCGGCCCAGCGGCAGCCGGGCCCACCAAGGCCTCCGACGCCGCCGCCCAGCCAGCCGGCGCCCCGGCCCCGGCCCGCGCCTCCTTCTCATATTCCTCGATGGCCAAGCGCTCGGTCGCCAATGCTCCCGCGGCCCCGACGACCGTCACGCCTGTCGCGCCGGCTGCCGTGCCCGCGACCACCTCTTCATACTCCACCACATCACAGCCGCAGTCGCAACCTCAGCAGCAGCAGCAGCAGCAGCAGCAGCAGCAGCAGCAGCAGCAGCCGCAGCAGCAGCAGCAGCAATCCTCCCGTGGTCAGCAGGGCGGCCAGTCGGCCAACCGTCGACTGCGGAAACCCCCGACCGCCGGCGCCCAAGGCTCCGGTGCGCCCGGTGGTCCTGGACCTGGGTCCGATGCCCGGCCTGGCTCCAGGCCTCGCCGTCAAGACCGGCCTGTCTCCGGTTCCTCGGTTGCCTCCCGCTGATGCCGCCCCTCCCCCTGGTGATGGACTTGACCTCTTTTCCCCCATTATCCAGGCAGGCCCTTTCCGACTCTCCTCCCCTGCTTTTCCTGTCCTATAAACGCCTCTTCCCCTGTCCCCCTCGATATTGTCCCCAGGTGCGGGCAGCGGGGCAACCAATCGCAATCGCACCTTGGCACTTTATTCTTCTGGGAGGGGCCAGGTTTCTTTCACTCGGCGCAAATGAGCACAATGTGTCCCTCTTCGAGGATTGACACCGTTCTGGTGGCTGTGGCGGCGCCAGCATGGAGTGCGCATGCCGGCAGGCAGGCTCCTCGAATGTGGGCCATCTGCCGTCCTGGAGCCGCGGGCCCCATACGGCGCCTCGGGAACGGGCAAGACACCGCCAGAGGCCGGCTGCGGGGCGCGATACTGGCAGGGAAATGTCGCGCGTCACAAGGGCACGGGCTGCCTGTCAGGAGCCCACTGTCAAGGGCCACGCTTCAACAGTCGCTCGGTCGGACCCTCCATGCCGAATAGGGGAGACAAGTGGGGCTACCTGAGACAGGCGGCCGAACAGCTTGCTGTCCACCAGCAGGGCGACCTTGATGCGTTGCTTGCCTCGAGCCGACCCGAGCCGACCCGAGCCGAGCCGAGCCGAGCCGAGCCGAGTCGAGCCGGGCAACGCCACACTCCAGCACACGTCACTCGGTCCTCCCCTCGGCCACTGCTCTCATTATTCAACACCAATGAGAGCCTCGCAGGCCGGCTGTCGGATGTGCCGCGGCCGGGCGATACAAGGGCGGGCTGGAGACCAGTCGAAAGGCGCGGGGCGGGTTCACCACAGGTGCCCAGCATCCGGGCGCCCCTGGACAGAGCTAAGCAAAGGAGAGAGGGGGGCATGGGCAAGAGGACATCGACACGGGCAGGGAGAGCGGAAGACAGAGGGACATGGCGAGGGAGGTGGCTTACCTGCATAGTGTTTGGGCAGACCAGGGCAATGAGGGGGCGCCTGGTGGGCGTGCGCACCGCCAGGGCGAGTCGACAGCGTAAACAAGCGAAGGACGAGGTCGTCTGGCGCCCTCGGCCCTGCGGGCAAGGCCCGGGCCATCAAGTCGGGGCAAGGCCATTGTCCTGGTCCAACATGGCGGCCTGTCCGCCAGGGGGCGGGGCATCGCTCGGGGCCGGGGGAGAGTTGCCAACGGCTGCCGACGGGCACATCGCTTCCAACGCTTTCCTCTCCGTGCCCGGAGCCCACGACCACACTGCCGTGAAGCCCTACCAGTCCTGCCCCCGGAGGGGGAGGGGGAGGGTCTGGGCGACCCCCACATGCCGGGAGGCAGTTCCTTTTCGTCTACCAAGATCTAGCTCGGGCCTGTGGCCCAGTAACCTGATCATGCCGGGAAAACACACGGAATAGAGCCCCCCCCCCCCCCCTCCCCTCCCGCTTGCTGGAGACAAAACTTTACAGACACCTGTGATTGTTAGGGGCTTTTTTTTCCTGCGGTTACACCGGGTTGTGTGCATACATACATTCATACATACAGACGCGCGTGTGTAGGCAGTGATAAGATGTATTTATCTGTCGCGACCTAGGCACCCTCTAGCCCGCCCTGCTCCTTCGGCTGGTTGCACGCACCGCAGCAAGGGTCGGCGAAGTGAACATTCGGCGGGTGGGAGGCTGGCCGAGGCAAAGAAAGGGGCAAGAGAGAGAGAGAGAGAGAAGCGTCAAGTCGAGGCCTCACATTTGAAGGAAGGCCTCCAACTCGGCTGGCGAGAGGGCCGCCTGACTGCCGGGCGCCTGGTGGTGGAACTGGGCGGGCGCCGGGGCCGACGACTGGGCCCCGGTCGCCGGAGGCGGCGTCGGAAGACTAGATCTGAGGCTAAGAAGCGAGGAGGAGCTGAGCGAGGCCAGCGATGGCTGCGGGGACTTCGGCGGCGGCGGCAGCAGCGGAATCAGGCCCGCCGACGCCTGAGCGGAAGACGAAGCCGGGGCCGAGGTCGAGGCGCCCGTCCGCGCCGTCGAGGGGGCTGCCGAGGCTGGCCGCGTTCCGCCGAAGGGCGACTCGCGAGCAACCGGGGCCGCGGCCCTGCCCGGGGGCGGCATCGGAGCAGGCTTCTCCCCCTCGACCATGGAGTAGTCCGACAGGAATGAAAACAGGTGCTCCAGGGGGATGGCCCCACCGGCGCCGGCCGCCGAGCCGGAGCCAGAGCCACCCGTATGCTCGGCCACCAGCTGATCCAGGTCCAGGAGACAGGCACCGGCGGTGGGCGCGTGAGGTGCCGGGGTCGCTGCCGAAAAGCCCCCGAATGGGTCGCCCTGAGCAGGGGCCGCCGGAGCCACAGGCGCAAAGTCCGACAAATCAAGCAAGCAAGCCGACGACTGGCCGGAACCCTGGGTCAGGCTCGAAGAGGCATATTGCGGCGGCGGCTGCTGCTGCTGCTGCTGCTGCGGTGGCGGCGCCAGTCGCACGGGCCCCGCCAGCGGGGAGGACACCGAGGCCGCTGAGAGAGACGAGGAAGAGGAGGTCGACCGGCCGGTGAAGGGCGACGACAGTTGCCGCGTGGGAGTACTGAAGGAGGAGGAGGAGGATGCGGATCCAGAGCCAAGTGGAGTCGCCGGGGCTGGCATCTGGCCGGATACCGGCGACACCGGCGCCGGGCTGGCCGACGAATCTAGGCTGGCCAGCGAGGAGGTGGACGTCGAGACGGACAAGCTCCGGAGGGACTGGACCGACGGCGAGGGGGATGGCCCGCCGAAGGGGTCGGCGCCTGGGCCGCCGATGGTGCTCAGGGGCCGATTGGTGCCCATGAGTTCCACCAATGACCGGGATTTGATGTCAATTGGTAGGGTGTTGGTGGCCGACGGGTCGATCAGGAAGGAGAACCGAGCCGACCGGCGTGAGGGCGGGGGTGGCAAGGGCCTGTGCGCAAAATGAGATGTGGGAGAAGAGGGGAGAATCGATGGTTGAAGAAAGACAGAGAAGGAGAGAGAGAGAGAGAGAGAGAGAGAGAGAGAGAGACGGTGTCAGCCAGGCTCCAGTCGGCCAGAGGCAAGGGAGGAGGGACAGAGAGAGAGAGAGGAAGGCAAAGGACAGAGCGACAGCAAGGAGGTGTGCACGCACGAGAAAAAGAGCTGCTGGTCCGGCACACGCTGGCCGGACACCGTCGTCGGGCCGAGGATGGCATTCCGGGCGCGAGCGCGGATCTTCCTGGTGACCACATGGCCGGAGACCGCCAGCCGCGACCAGCCGCCAGACCCGGCCGATGCGTCGTCCATATCCTCGCGGGTGTACGGACTGCCGACATTCCCGCTGGAGGACCACCCGCCATAGGCGGCCCCGGCCCCGGCCCCGGTCCCGCCGTATGATGAGCTGCGCGAGGATCCGGAGAAGAACCCGGTCGCGGCCGGACCCGGGTGCACGGCCCCCGAGTCCAATGACGTCCAGGGATCGCTCGGGAGGACTCGATCGAGGGTCATTTCTTCGCCGCGCTCGGCGATGAACCGCTCAAAGTGCTGAGTGGTGGCCAGGATGTCGAGCATCTGCGCGAGCCGAAGGAGGGGGCAGTGCCAGGGAACGACAGGGGTCAGTGTCAGGGAGGGGGGAGGGGGGAGGGGGCGAGGAGGAAGGAGAGAGGCATGTGAAGATGGCAGGCCGGGCGAGCGGGAGTGCTCACACCCCGGGGGGTGCCGGCATTGGCGCACCTGGTGCGACCCGCGCGGCAGGCTCAGCTTGTACTCCTCCATGTTGAGGGTCGTGGTGCCGGGCTTGTAGAAGCAAAAGTAGTTGGTCAAGAAAAGGCTGTAGAAGGAAATCACCGCGCGAGAGATGGTCACATTCTGCGCGGTGGAGAACTTCACCATGGCCGGGACCAGGCTACTGGCGTTCAGCAGGGGCACCGGCGGATCGGCCAGGTCGCCCCCGGGGTTGTGGGCTGTCCCGTGGGGCCCGGAGGAGGCACCGGCCCCGCCGGCACCCGGGCCGAGATCCAGGGGGCTGGCCCCGGGCGGGCCGCCGCCGGTCGAGAGCTGCTCGAGGCTGGCCATGTGCAAGGCCTGGGCCATGGCCCCGGTGCGCGAGTAGAACCGCCGGAGGCTGTGGCGCAAGCGCACCGTGGCGTCGATCGGCAGCGCGTCCACATCCTGGCGGAAGAAGTTGACGAACCCGGTGTCGCAATTGACAAACACCACGGACTCCATGTGCCGGGATTCCCGCTGGACGGCCCCCTGCAGGGAGGAGTGCACCCCGATCAGGAAGGGCATCGGAGCCAGCAGCGTCGACAGCAGGGACGCCGGCAGCACCGGGATCATGATGTGCTGCCATTCCAGCGGGGCCAGCAGGGCCGCCGCCGCGTGCACGCACCCGGTCAGCCGCGACAGCGACGACGAGGTGAAGAGGATCCGGCGCTCGGTCATCAGGGAGGCCAGAAGCCCCAGCAGATCCTGCTCATCGAACGAGCTGAAGAGGGCCCCAAAGTCGATGTGGTCGAAGGGCTCGGCCAGCAGGCGCACGGCAGCCCCACCGCCAGGGGCGGCCGACCCGCCGGCATCGGACCGCGGTGGTGTCTGCGCCGCCACCGACATGTAGCTGTTGCCCCCGAGGTAGGAGGATGGCCCGCCGGCAGACGCCCCGCCACCCCCGAGGAAGGGCGATCCCGGGCCATTGTGGCTCAGCCCGAGGCCGGTCGACCGGTACCGCGTGGCGAACAGCGGCCGCTGGAAGTGGTAAGACTCCGGCAGGAGCTTGACCGGGACCTGCGAAGAGCCGGCGATCACGCGGAAAGTTTCGCCGGGCTTCTGCGGCACGGACACCGCATAGAGGGCTGTGTCCGGGAGGGGAAGGAGGGGGGGGGGGGAGGTGCGGGGCATGTGTGCTGCGTCTGAGGGGGTGTACATTCGCGCATGCCAGGATGCGCGGCCCGGCACACGGCGGAAGGGG